AACAAAGTTTGTCCGTTGTCTCCAAAACAATCGGCCCAGTTGATTTTGTCCCATATTTCCAAAGTCTGTTGAATTGAGTTTTGTCAAATAGAGGGTTTACTCATATTTGTTATTATCTAAGTTACCAGGAATAATTTAAGAACAGTACTGCACTGTACTATACACAGAAGAGCTTTATACTCACTCCATAGTGACACTGTTATTCCTCTTCACACACACATCACAAGAGCATCTTACATGTAAATACAAGAGCAAAGTGGTACAGTGTACATTCATATAGAGCTGTTTCTCTGAGTGTATGTATATAAACAGCTGATCCTTGGTATATTTTCAAACATTATTTGAAATTATGCTCTACAAGAACTACGAAACACAGAAGGAAAATGTCACATATATGACCCTTTCCCTCTACACACTCACATTTCAGTATACACCTACCATCCGACTTACGACCGAGTTCGGTTCCGAGAAACCGGTCGTAAGTCGAAATGGTCGTAAGTCGAACTTTACTACTGAATATCAACAAAACATTTTTGTAATGACTTTATTTTATTGTTTTATTTTGGTATTTCATGTTTTACTTTACTTTTTATGTTGTTAGTACTGTATTTTATACTGTAAGGTTTAGGATAAACACTGTGTACAGCACTAATAGTTGTTTATTTCCCAGAAATTTGGCATAAAAATCACAGTCGTAAGTCGAGTGGTCGTAAGTCGAGTGGTCGTAAGTCGAGCAGGTCGTAAGTCGGATGGTAGGTGTACTAGTATGCACCACTATTAACCCTTTCAGGCTCCAGAGGCCAAATTTCAAAGGGTGCACAAGTGTCCAAGAATTTTCAAAAAATAATTTTGTTATTTTTTCTTATGAAATGGTAGAGAATCTTTTTTTGAAGGTAATAAAACGAAAAGTACAAAATTTTATGGAAAATTGATGAAATTATGCTCTTACGAATTTTGATGCGTCAGCGATATATACGCATCGGCGATTTTGCGGACTTTGACTTCCATTTTAGGCCAATTACATTATTCCAGTCGACCAAATTCTTAGCTATTTCACTAGTATTACTTCTATTCTATCGACTGAGCACAAGAATTCGCCAAGTCAACTGTTTCAACTACAAAATAAAGTGATCGGAAATTGGTAATTTGGCCAATTTAATGCAAAGTTCAAAATAGGGTTCAGAATAAACAATGCAGGCATTCCTGGCATTAAACTAACATTTCCTCTGTTCATTAGTTACGTTTTGAGGCTTTACAAATAAATTCCATTTTGATTTTTTATTCACATAATGAATTTTTATTCAAACCAAAAAATAGAAGATTTACTGTTATGCAATATTGTAATAATTGTATAAATAATATCAGCACATTTGTAAACGTATATTAGACCCACCAGGTGGCGTGTATTAGATGTGAGAGGTCATTTGTTTACTCCTGAACATCAGCAAAAATTTAACATTTCCGCTAATTTGAGCTCAGTTTCAAGCCATTTCCAGTAATAAAACCAATCAAAATCATCTCTATTTCTGTAATATGTCTTCCATTCTATCAAATGAGACCAAGAAATCGCAAATACAACTATAAAAAACATACGAAAAAACAATGCAAAATCACTGTTTTAATAAAAAATTACGGTCTCAGTTTTTTCTCTCATTATGCACTATGTGCTGCAGGATTTGTTTTATGTGGTGCACATACCACATAGATGCATTCTCTCATATCAAGGCCAAAATTTACCGCTCACAGCTTATCAGAGTGAGCTGAGCTCATGACGTAGATCTACGGCATTGACCCTCAAGGGGTTAAAATATCAACATTATAAATTTCTTTTATGGCTAGAGACTATTTTATGCAAGATTTCTGTAGTATCATATATGACAAAGGCTCTAGAATGGATGATCGCTACCGAGTGTTTTCCACTCCCAGCAAACAAATATTACTATTGGCCTCCTCATACATTTCCTTCAATGGGGAACCTTGATGTGATAAAGGACTGTATCCCAGAAAGTGTGGCTACCCTCCCTCCCCTCCCTGTCATCAAACCTGCCATAATTACTACCCATTCCCTGGGAGCTCTATGACCCTTGTGGGTTTACTGCTTTCCTAATAATATACTGTAGTAATAATAATAATCTAACACTAGTAATAATTGTAATAATAATAATCCAACACTTTCAAACCAGGTTCACTTTTAGTTTTCTCTCTTTTTCTCTTACTACTTGAAAGGTATTTTTAAGTCCATAAGTATCTAAGTCTTTACATACAGTACAAGATAACTTAATCAAGATACAAAACTTCACTATATTTTATTTTCTTAACTCAACATCTGTGGGTGACCCTGCCTAGCAAGGCAGGGTCACCCACAGAACACACACTCACAGTCATTCATTCAATCACTATATTATCACTACAGAAACAAGCTATTATGTATTAATTATAAATATGACACTATATTTTATTAACATTTTTATTATAATTTGGAAAGTAAAGGTTAACAAGCAGTTTATAGAATTGGTGTAAATATTAGTAAAGAATAATTTTTTGAAAATATTACCAAATATGAAATTATAATACACTCTACAAACCTAATAGTTGATCAGTTTTTTATAATTATATTATCAAAATGAATTATAATACAGGCATTATATTGCATTTTAATATGTTTATATGGTATGTCAGAAGCATTTACAGCAATCTTATGCAAAAATATTAAAACTTGTTCACTCTCAAGTGCAGTACAGTATTGTCTTAAATAAGTTTTCAGTTCATTAATTTTACCCAATATTAACTTGTTAAAATGTACATTTTTTGTGGGCACTGTGCTCAAAAAATATATTAAAATATGTACACTATGCAGAAGGTTACCCAATTACAAATGCCCAAAATTTCAAACATTTGGTTTTACTTGGGAACCAGTTTTTCGAACAGCTAATCTTTATTAAGAACATGTGAAATATAACCATCTTTTGTAATAAAACAGGCAAATCATTTGTATGACTAGTGAAATAGTAATAACACGATTGTTAACAGCTCACAGAACAAATGAGATTTAAACCCATGGCAAGCCCATCCTAAAATTTGGAGACCAATGTGTTAACTACTGTGCCATGCACAGTGTCACAGTGGGTCCCATGCTAATCCTCCTAGGGTATAGAAATATACTTAACTGACTGAACCTTAATAAGCTGGCACAGCACAGAAGTTAGTGTACTGGCCTGCCAGGTATAGGACCAACTTGCCATGAGTTTGAACCCCACTTGTTTGGATGTTGAAACACCAGGAACACAACACATTTGTAAGTTGGGGTCCTCCTGCATAGAAATAAGGGATATGTTCAGTAAAGCTTACTTACATATGACAAGTACTGTACATTCAAAGTTATCAAATTAGGGTTTTTTAACCCAGAAATAATTTGTCATTAATGATGAAATATATTAGCATACATTTTAATGAAACATCAACACAGCTACAGTATTTGTAAAGCTGTAAAAAAAAAATTGCCCCAAGAATTTCAAATATGCAGAACATTAACATCAAATACCAATTATGATAACAGCCGAAAGATTAAACACAATAACAGAGACGAATAATTTTTATTTACTACAGTATTTCATTATAATACTATTCTGTTTGAAAATATTAATGCTTCCTCTGCTCAGGATAAAGAATGATAACATTTACAATTTTCAGTATAACATTAGTGAAGAGTTCCAGCAAAAATTTGCTTAAATTCATGTATACCAGTATAGCACTGTATCTGTCTTTTAAATGCAATTATGGATATAAATAATCTAAGTGATATTGTATACTACTACAGCATTTGACCATAATAAAACAAGAGTATTTATAACTATGACAGAATATTTTATAAAGATTGTCACATAACAAAGAAAACATTTTAACAAATATTTCAATAAATCATAAGACAACAACACCCCGCAATATCTGACTAATTCTTAAATAATTGGTTGACTAATCTTTAACTTCAAGTGGATGTTAAAATCTAATTTAGGGAATTATTTTACACATAAAAGGCTGTTTGTCCCCCCTTTTTTTTTTATTTAATGTGAGTTTGCAAATGTCTAACAAGGTTGACTTTTTGAGCTGAGCGAAATGAACAGTGAGGGCACACAAAAGGTTTCTCGCCTGTATGGGTTCTTATGTGAATTTTTAAATTTATTTTCTTAGCACATCGGTAAGTGCAATGTGGGCACAAGAATGGTTTCTCTCCAGTATGAGTTCGTACATGAACAATCAAACTGTGCTTTCGTGAAGTAGAATAGGTACAGTAGAGGCACTTGTGTTTCTTGCTGGTCGTTGAGAGGCTCCTGCTGGGTCGCAACACTTCTCCCGTGCCAATCCTCAGATCATCAAGGCCCAGCCCACCCTGTAGGGTACAAGTGTCTGTCTCATTTATAACCAGGAGATAGTCACAAACACTGATATTTAGAGACAATTTACATGCAAGACACAAAAAGCTATGCTATTGCTAACAACAGCCATCTTTAATTAGATCCCTGAATGATACTATTGTATTTATATGATGCTTCAAAAGCCACAGGTCCCAAATGTGTGAGATCATTTAATCAAATAATGCTATTTCTATTGAAGTTTTAGGTAATAACAGATTTACTATCATCAACATAATTGAATATTCATATAATACATGTACCAACGTGCATAAAATGCATGCTAAAGCACACATACACATAGCTTATATTTTATATAAAAGTATTATCTTTTGGTTTTATTACATTTGATAGATTAATGGATACTGCATAATCACAACACTTTATTCAATTAAAATTATAAAACCCTGGAAGAGCACACTGTACATATTTACAAACTGAGATAGGAAAATAAAGGATACTGTACATTTTCTAAAATACAGTATCATAACCTTTGTGTAGCCTGGAACAAGAATAATCCTTGGTCATATTTTTTCTATGGCAGTATATAACTGCAGCAGCAGTAAGAGAATTGGACATCAGGGATGATATTTGTAATATGAAAAACAAAAACTGTATGATGAGGAAGAGGAAAAGAAAATAGTGTGAGGAGCAGTTGGAAGAAGGGAAAGAGTGCAGGCTAAGGAAGAGGAAGACAGGGAGGGACAACAATGATTTGCCAGCAGCAATTACAGTACTAGTAGTGGAAGGGGGAAAATAATAAGCTGTCCTAGGACTAGTGATTGTCAGAAACTGCCAGAAATCATTGGATTTGTGACAGTGGACTCATTATTGTGTGTTATGTATTTACAAATTAAACTGTGGTCTACGGTAATCCCTGTTTAATGTACAGTAATACATGTAAATTCCAGACATATAGCTTCGTGAATTTCAGTAATTTAGTGTTTCTCATGCGTGGTCCAAGAAAAATAATGAAAATTCACAGATGTCTGTAAGTAATTCTCATATCTTATTTAAAACTTTAACAGTATCAATAATAAATTTACATTTCTTGACTCCCCCCCCCCCCCCCAAAAAAAAAAAAATAACATATGTATATGAACATAACATACATGCTCCACAAAAAGAAAAAAAACCCACTGTATTTTGTTAAAAAATATTCGATTGGGACTTTTTTTTGGCCCTCCTATAAATAACAGCTTGGCAGAATTTAGAAGAGGAAAATGCACATTACTTAACCACACACATACCAGTCATATACAAAAACTATTATATGGTAAACCTAAATCAGAATATTATTATATATGGACTTTTAGTGTTCGAATATTAGCAATTTTTTGCTCGCTGGGCTTGTAGGATGTATGAACCCCTGAATCTAAAGAATTTCTATACAGTATATGGAATTTGAAAGCTACATTAACCCTTTGACTGTCGCGGCCATATACATGTATATACGTCTTACGAGGTACTGTGTTTGACGTATATATACATGTACTCATAAATTCTAGCGGCTTCAAATCAAGGAGGAGAAAGCTGGTAGGCCCACATGTGAGAGAATGGGTCTGTGTGGTCAGTGTGCACCATATAAAAAAAATCCTGGAGCACGCAGTGCATAATGAGAGAAAAAAACTCCGACCGTTTTTTTGAATTAAAATGCCAACTTCGTGGTCTATTTTCGTATAGTATTTATGGTTGTATTCTCATTTTCTTGGTCTCATTTGATAGAATGGAAAACATATTATAGAAATAGAGGTAATTTTGATTGATTTTACTATAAAAAGAACCTGGAAATGGAGCTCAAAGTAAGGGAAATGTTTGATTTTTGCCGATGTTCAAAAGTAAACAAATGTTGTCATTGTCCAATAAATGTCCAACTAGCTATTCTAATATGCAGTCATGAATGGGTTAATGTTATTTATACAATTATTACAGTATTGCAGTAAACTGCATAATAGTAAATCTTCTATTTTTTGTTTGAATAAAAATTTAAAATAGAAAGCAAGAGTAATATCAGAGGGGCCTGGAGACATGACTGATGAACAAAGAAAATGTTATTTTAGAGCCAGGAATGTCTGCATTGTTCATTCTGGACTTTATTTTGAAATTGTCATATTTTTTAATTTTCGTGAAATTGGCCAAATTGCAAATTTCTGACCACGTTATTGGGTAGTTGAAATTGGTAAATGGGCAGTTTCTTGTACTCAGTCGATAGAAAAAACGGAGTTCTAAAGAAATAGCTATGAATTTGGTTGACTGAAACAATGGAATTAGCCGAAAATAGGGCTCAAAGTGGGTGAAATTGCCGATTTGTAAATATAGCCGAGGTCGCTAACTTCGCGAGAGTGTAATTCCATCAGTTTTCCATCAAATTTCATTTTTTTTTTTTTGGTATCATTACAATCGGGAAAAGATTCTCTATCATTTCATAAGAATTTTTTTTTTTTTTAAATTTTGCGACACCAGGAGACACCTCAGGATTGGGGGTTGCGACAGTCAAGGGGTTAATGACTGTATGCTAGTGGTAAGCCAATCATAAATGTATGGTTATTTATGAGGCAAGGTTGAATGGTGAATATAACTGAAAATTAATCAGATAGGGGTAAGAGATTTCATTTATCTCCAATGGAACTCGACCAGGAACAACAGATTTCCAGCCATAATCCCAAAAAATGAGTATCTATGTTTGAAGTCACTAGTTTGCAATGTTCACTTAGAGGAGGGAAAACTAGCAGGCAATGTATCAACTTGTTTGGTGAACTTTTACAATAAATTTACATAACAGTGAACACCTAAAATTAAAACACTCCATTTTTTAAAATGTTTAAAGGCTCTATTTTTATCTTATTTACATTATTGGTTTATGGCAGTAACTCCAGAATTTCTATGGAGTTTCAGTAGATTGCAAATAATCATGAATAAAGTTATTTGGTAATATATTACAACAAAACCATGCTTACTGGTAACTTTTTATCTCCAACAAAAATTTTAATAACTATACAGTAGGCATCATAAATATGCGCACACACACACAAATACACCTTTAGAAGATTATTTGGTGACCATTTTGAGAAGTGGAAAGGCAACTTGTATATACAAGACAGTACTCCTTGTCATACTGAGACATAAAAGACTGGCTATATGAATGTGATATAGTATCACTATAATGACTGGCCTGGTAACTCACCAAGACTTAAAAAAAATATGTGGAACCTTATTAAGTACAGGCTTTGTGGCATGGACATGTCCACTTTCCACAAATTCTTCAATGCCATTAAGCAGGTGAGGGAGGGTACTGAGGCTTCTATCCTCCATAACGTAGCCTTATCAGTGCCTATGAGACATAAGGAGTGCATCAAGAGGAAAGGTAATTCTATGAAATACTTGGAAAAGTGAGTATTCCATACATATTTCAGTACTTTATGTTTAAAATAATAATTTATGGCGAGAGTTCTCAATAACTATGTGATGAGTTTATGCTTGTGCATTTATATGATGCCTACTGCATAATGGTTAAAAGGTGCTTTTTGTTTTTTCTTGTAATAAATATATAAATTACATTTATATAATCACAAATATCTACACATTACTTCAAACACTTTTACCTGGATATATTGCAATACAAATAGCAAACCAATATTTTTTTATAATATAACAATAATATTTATAATAATGATTATCTGTCAATAAAGTTAATTTAAGTCTAAGACCATAAATGCTCTGTGCAATTTCAGGTATCAGAAAGTATTAATACATATTTGTTACTGAACAATTAAAATCCACTGATTCTAAATACTGAGGGATTCAAATATGATAAGGATGCAAATACAGTATCTAAATAAACCTACTTCATGACATTAGCTTAGGTATGTTGTGAGCATGCCATAAAATTAAATGTTTTACCTGGTGTGTATATAAGAATGTCTGATAAGGTTGACTTTTTGAGCAGTACGGAAAGGGCATAGAGAGCATACATAAGGTTTCTCGCCTGTATGAATACGGATATGAATTTTAAGATTTATACTTTTTGAACACCGATAAGGACAATGTGGGCATTGAAAAGGTTTCTCCCCGGTATGTGTACGTATATGATCATCCAGATGGTGCTTTCTGGCAGTTGAGTAGGAACAGTACGGGCACAGATGTACTTTTCCGCTGACTGGGGTGAAGGTCGCTGTAGGTCCTGAAGATCCTCCCTTGTTAGCCATCAGGTTTCCACTATCCATCGCTACCTGTCGCAAAACATGCGACTTTTAAGTAGAAAAAGTAATACTGTACATAATGTTCTACTCTATACTAATCAAACTTTAATCATAATATTTTACACATCACCTAAAATCTTTAGAATTTGACATGTTACAAGTGATGAGTATGCCTGAAACCATGAAATTTACTAGTTTTAAAATATAAGCAACGTATACAGTAAAAAACTGACATACATGAAATTTCCCACACAAATAAGAGCTGTATTTCGCAATATTTAAGTTCAATAAATGCTATTATGCTTTGCATACAGCATTTAAAATACTATTTTTAATTACTGCGTAATTTTAGGGCTGGTTAATTTTTTAAAACAAACAAGCTCACAATTATTAGTGCTAATTTGTTGTCACAGGGAAGCACTATAAAAGAATAGCATTGGAAACAAGTTTGTTTTGAATGTAGGAAATAGGATTTCTTATTCATACTTGGAGAGAATAGTAAAACAAGCACTTTACATTACTGACTGACTGAGCTACAGGGGGCAGAGCCTCTGCCAAATACAGGACCATCTAGTGCTACAACTAATGGGGAAAGGGGAGCTAAATTTTGAAAGCTAATTCGATAGAGCACATCACACAATAGTGTATTTTCATACCACAGACGAGTATATTTTACAAAAAAATCTGAACAGTTTTAGAAAATGCAACATACAATTCCAAACAGAAAGCCAATACATCAAATTTCAATGAATTTAGTTAGGCATAGTTAGTAAAAAACTTCTTATATAGGTGTGAGGCATGACCTTGAAACAATGCAGGAAGGAGGATGGAGGCAGTGGAGATGTCATGTATGATAACATCATGTGGTATGAACATTATGAAAAGAATTTGGAGCACAGAAATTAGAAGTGTGTGGGTTATGAAAGACATTATTCTGAGGGCAAAGGGTAAGGGGTTGTTACAGTGGTTTGGAAATTTACAGAGGATGGAGTTGAACAGGATGGCCATGAGTGTGTAGAAATCCCAAGGAGGAGGGAAGGGTAAATATCATTCAAGTAAAAGCTGGAGGAAGGGTGTGAAGAAAGTTAAATGGTCTGGACTTCATCACCCATCAAGTATGTGTGAGCATATTAGATCTGGATGAGTGGAGACAAGTGGTTTTATGGACTTAATGCATTATTTATTAGTGGTTCCAGGGATTATCTTTTCCCTAGCCAGGTCTCAGACCAGGCCCCTAGGTTTGAAATGAATTACAGTATTACAAGATTAAAAACTATCAAGAGGCACATGAAAAAGTAAATATATTTGTATGCTGAATGTATGCAGAAGTCTGTAAGATTTATATATCGTCTTCTATGTTCATGCAATGAAGAAAAGATTAGCAAACCCTCAAGAGTACAAAAAATTAACTGATTTTCATTTCGTGCTCATCTGACAGAATGGCAGTACCTCCTTGGATGATTGCTGTTCATCAACCTATGTGCTACTGGGGTGTGAGCAAGGTAACATTTATGAAGGGATTCAGGGAAAATGGTTACTTGGACCGAGTCCTGAAGATGGAAAGTGCATTGCCTGCACTCTGATGCAGAGGCAGGGATACTACAGCTTAGAGTCATTTGAACTGTAATGTCTGCATACTGTTGAATGAATGTTAGTGAATACAGTAATTTTTTTTGAGTCACCCTGCCTTGGTGGGAGATGGCCAATGCGGTTAAAATTAAATATACAGTATACGTAATTATATAGATAAATATCTCGCTAATTTAGAAAGCCCTTCACTTACCTTGCCCAGTCAGTGTCAGTGCTGGCTGGTGTCAATATAGTTTTGAGTGGCTCGTCTGAGCTTCCTTTCTCTTATAGCATAATGCCGACATTATTATTATTATTATATTCATGGAAGCAAGAGCTAAATCGGTGGGGTCATACAGCACCTGGGGGAATGGGAGACAATCATGTTCGATCCAAGGAAAGGGAGAACAGGTCCAACTCCTTTGATCAAGAGCTCCTAAAGATGATTTTTAACAAATTCAAGAAATTGACCAACAAACCATGAAATGCTAACTTCAAAACATTAATGTACTGTAATGTAATACAGTAATGTAATGTACCACACTCAAACACACAGCATAAATAAATAGGTCTTTGTAAAAATATTGATAATTATGGTGAATAATTAATCAATGATAATGATTAGTAAATATGTTTAGAAATTTAGACAAACCCAAACATCAACAAGCTTCATAATTCATGTCCTTAGATCTTATATAGTCTTTACTGAAGAGCATTGAGCAAATATCTAACTATTAGTGAGTTTTTCATTTTTTTAAGCTCCACACACGACCCCTATAGGATTTCATTCAGTGTGGGCTCAACTGACTGCCAATGCTCAAATCTATTTTTTCTTTACATTTTCCTTAAAAATTTTAAACATATTAGAGCAATATATGATGTAGACATGGAAACTCAAACTGATCCCAATTCTAAATCAAAATTAATTATATGACTAAATTTAGTGCTAGAGTATTTGTGAATTCTAGCCAGTAATGATAATGAATACGTCTTGTACCATCATTTCTCCTCCCTCTTTAGTTCAATGTTCAGAGATAAGCATAACTAGCAGCTAGGTCTCTCATTCCCTGTAAATGAAACACTGTATACTACTTGAAATGCTGGCCACAAACATCAGAAAATGTTCAATGTGCCTGAGTTTTTTTTATCATACTGATGGTAAATAAGGGAGGTGAGGTAGATTAGCAATTTATGCTACTGTACCTAACAGAGTTAGAATATTTGGTAACAATACAGAGTTCTCCTCTCATGGCAACACATACAGCATTTTATTTACTGGAGAAGATAGCTACACCACAAGTGTAATATGTAGACGAAACCAAGTTACCATGGCCATCACCACCACTGTCACTAACCACAAGCTGTCTTATGAGACAATGCAACTAAAACCTTTGTTTAGAGGTTTCTTATTGTATTTTCTTCTTTTGAGGTGTTGTAGTGCAGAAAACAAGAAGCATTATCATGAAACTTTGCCACAATAAAATGTTGCATCAGTTGCATGTGTCCTTTCACCTAACATATTGTCGGTAATTCTACCAACATTATTATGGAGCTTCACTGTAACTACTGGTAGATGAATGCTAAAAGTTTAGTATGGTTATGTTAAAACAGCATAACAGGCTTCCACTGAAGTACACAGTACTTAGCAGGATTACCATTTAAAATTTCTTATTTATGCTGAAAGGAGTATTTTATGCAGTTCACTGACCTGTTTCTTATATGTTGTATTCACTTAGTGTACTCCAGTGTAAAAATGTGAGTGTTTAGTGTGTAACCAAAATTACACATTTCTATAGTTGGCCTAAGCATTGTTTCCTACACATTTTAGATCACTATTCAATTTGAAATATATTTTAAGCCAGAAAACGTCATTACCAAAACAAAATTAAAGAGTAAGTTACAGATAAAACCAAAGATCCCATTTCAAACTTGTACAGTTTAAATAATTCAAACAATTATTTAAATTTGATATACAGTAATAAATACTGTATTTCTGAGGATTCACTTTAATACAGTAGGGCCCCACTTATTCAGCAGGTTAGGTTCCAGGCTACTGCCGGAAAGTAGAACGCCATTTTTTCCACTTATAAATGCATATAAATGCCAGATAACAAATTTACACTAACATATATTAAGTTAGCAATAATACTAGGCATTAAAAACAATAAAAAATATAACACACACACAGTACACTCATTATTTACCTTAAAATATTTGTAGTTTTAATGGAGGGTGAGAGGTGAGTTTGTAGGAAGTCAGGTTTGGGAGGTATGGTTGCTAGCCAGGCCAGCCCACCCCACCCCACCGACATGTAATATACAGTGGACCCTCGACCAATGATATTAATCCATTCCTGAGAGCTCATCGTTAGTCGAAATTATCATTAGCCGAGTTAATTTTCCCCATAAGAAATAATGGAAATCAAATTAATCCGTTCCTGACACCCCAAAGTATTGAAAAAAAAAAAATTTACCACATGAAATATTAATTTTAATACACACAAACTGAAGAAGACATGTACAATTACATGACACTTACCTTTATTGAAGATCTGGTGATGATTGATGGGATGGGAGGAGGGGAGTGTGTGGATGGTGTTAGTGTTTAGAAGGGGAATCCCTTCTATATATATATATAAAATATATAATATTATATATATATATATATATATATATATATATAACATAATATATATATATATATATATACATATATATATATATATTATATATAACATATAATATATATATATATATATATATATATATATAATATATTATATATAAAATATATATATTATTAATATTATATATACAATATATATTACATATAATTAAACATATATATATACATATATATTATACTATATATATATTTTTTATTATATACATATATATAATATACATATATATATATATATATTATATATATATATAATATATATATATATATATATATATACATTCCCATATACAGTGGTCCCTCGATATCGACGGTAATCCTTTCCCTGGAAGCGGTCGATTATCGAAATGGTCGATTTACGAATCAATTTTCCCATAAGAAATAATGTAAATTAATTAATCCGTTCCTGACACCAGAAGTATTAAAACAAAACAATTTTTTACATGAAATATTCATGTGTACATAAACAATACAATGGGAAAAGATGAATGGAAACATTAACAGCAAACACTTACCCTTTTTTGGAGATTCTTCTTGTGTATGGGAGACTGGAGGAGGAGAGATTGGATTTGTTTATAGTTTGGAAGGGGAATCCCCTTCCAGCAACACCTCAGGTACCATTTGCTTTTCTGGGGTTTCTTCTTTCTCTGTTTTTTTAATGCCACTAGGACCAGCTTGAGAGTTCACTGGAGTCCTGTCTCGCAAAATAACTGTGCAGAGAGCTCTGTTTCTGGCGTCTCTTTAAAACTTCCCTAAAATGGGCCAAGACTGTCACTGTACAAGTTGCCGATATGGCTTGCAACATCCTTCTCTGGGGGATGTTTTTTCCATAAATCTTTCCATCTTACCCCACATAGTAAAAAATATCCTTAATTTCTGAAGAAGGCACCTTCTTCCATCTCCATCTTCCATGCCTTACCACACTGTGTATGCCAGTACGCTTCTTAACCCTTTGACTGTTTCAGGCCCCTCTCTGAAACTGTCATTCTATGTCGCCAAATATTCAAAAAAAAAAAATTATTTTTCTTATGAAAATGTTAAGATTATTTTTTCTGAGTGTTTTAGTCCAAAAAAAATTTTGCCATCGGTACTTACCGAGATATAGAGCCGGGGAAGTTTGCAGGGAAAATTGAGCCGGTATGGCACACGGCGACTGCCGCTCACCCGGTAAACTTTAGTTTACTTGTATTTTAAGGTTTGTTGTTTTTTTTTACTATTTTTTTTTTCACCTAACTTAGTGGCCTATGAGACCAAAGTAAGGTGCAATGTATATACTATATACACTCGTTGTATACAAACAATAAGCACAAAAC